CTCCCCTTCAAACCCCGCCCCCAACTCATCCCAGCTCCTTGCGGGGCCCCGCGGTGCGAGCTGCGAGCGCGGTGGGCCCGATTTGACCATTATTTTTGTTGTGCTTCGCGCGGCCGAAACCTTTGCCGGTGTGAACGGCCTGCGGATGGCGCTCGTCCATGCTATGCTGCTGCTGCTGCTGCTGCTGCTGCTGCCACGCCGGCGTGCCCCTTCTTTTACTCCCAAGAACTCCCCGCCCTTTGATGTGGAAAAGGGACAAGACACTTTGCTATATAGTGCGTTTTGTTTCGAGACCTCTTCAAAGGACGCTCTCGTGACGTACTTGGCTTGGCGGGCAAGGTCACCCTCCAGTCAGTAGTGATGGGGCGGCCAGGCGAGTGCGTTATCTGAAAAGCTTTTTGTTTATGACTCTGCGTTTCTCAGCCACGATGGTCAGTCGATAGTAGACGAAAATTGCCCCCTACGAACTGCGAATAATTACTCCGAGTCCGAGTTACGTCGGATGAGCCCAGGCAAAGACCAGCCAGGGGCGAAATGAGATCACCGTCGCCTGTCTAAACACTCTGAGCTAAAAGTATCGTCCGTGGCGAGCGCTGACCGCTGAAAGATGATGAGTCCTAATTCAGTTATGCTCGTGGTGATGGAGTAACGACTGGCGGGTCCCACGGCGGACACGAACAGCGCTAGGGGAACCCCCGGGCCGGGGTCCCCCGGGCAGGCGGGCAGTGCTAGTTCTGAACACGACACTTGATATACACTTGACGTCCGCTTCAGCTTTAAAAGTTTTAACTTTTGAGCATTTTACCATCATAGCGCATCATCTGTTGCGCAATGTGAGAAGACTGTCCACTCCACTGTCACCTCGCCAGCAGCTCGCGTAGGTGGAGGCTGCCGACACTCCCTTTTGGTGCAGCCAATGCAAAGCCAGTGACCACAGCCCCGCGCCGCACTCTAGGCCTGGCAGTCATCTGATGGCTGGGGCGATTTCTTTAGTCCGAGGAGTTATCCAAATATGGTGAAAATTGCCTATTTTTAGGCATCCTAAGGGAAAATTGGGGAAGGGTATATAGCTCCCCTTCCCCACGGAACCCCGGTCGCCCCCCCCCCTCTCCCTCCCCTTAAGTAGTAGCATGAAGTTGTCGATCGACAGTTTCGTGTTAAGTTAAAAACCACCCGTGCCCTGTCCTGTGTGAGCAAGGGGTTCTCCGCGACGCTGAGCTGGCCCGCGACGACCCGACCTTTGGCTCGCGCCTCATGTTCGCTGCTGGAGAAGCGAGTCGGCTCGGCTGATCGCCCGCCGCGCCCCGCCCCGCCTCGCCCCGCCCCTTTGCCTCCCACGAGCGCCGGCGGGGAAAGCCAAACGCCGCGGCCGCCGGGCCCCCGGGCCCCCGGGCGCGCAATTTGAGCGGCAATCTTTGGCGAAGACTACAATGAATATATAAACGCGGGCGGGTGCCGGTGCTCTCCAGTCTTACCACGACACTGATCCCATCATGGTGCTGAGGATATCCTGCCTGGCCGCGCTGGCGCTGTGCCTCCTGGGGCTCGCCCTCGCGCACCCGCTCGCCCCCGCCGGTAAGTAGAGTGTTTAAATAGACGTGAAAAAAAATATAAATCAAGAATCTATCTTGAAAGCAGATGATGCAAATTTAAGAATATGTCTGTTTTCTAATTTTCCCTCATATGGAGGTGTCATTTCGTTTATGGCTGCTTGTTATTACTTGCAATTTTGTAATTCGGCGTACTAACGCTCGGACAGGCAGCAACTCACTGATTCCCCTAGCGCCAAATAAATTGTTTTCTTGTCTCCGATTGGTCGTCTGTCCTTATCGAGAGTAAAAGCAAGCTTCAAGTTTCTAATATATACTTTATGTTTAGTCAAGAGGTTTTTTAAGGTATCATCTGCTAAAAACAACAACCAGAGTTTTGCAAGTGCAAATAGTTTACAGGGAAGTTATTCTGAGTTTCTGCAATAAATAAACCACTCCTAGCTAAGGTAACGAGCGCAGGTCATTCAGAATACAAAATGTTATTTAATACGAACGAACAGTTTGTTAGCCTTAGCTAGCTATTTATTGTGGCAATAAAACTTTCTCGTTATCTTTCGTGTCGATTTCAGCAAAATTTTAGCTGTGGCGACAGATTTCTTTTGTCCGCGAGCTTCTCCTGCGCGCGCGTCCTTCTTTGTGTGTACTGCAAGCGACCCTCTCTCACACACGCTGCCTCTTGTCCTCTTCGTCTAGGTGCGGAGCACGCCGTCGACGCTCACGAGCACGTCCACGACGACGCCCACCCGCACGTCCACACTTACGACGAGCATCCCACCGAGAGCAAGCTCGCGTCCATCCTGACGCCCGTGAGTACTTAAAAAGCCCTGCTCCCATAAAGCGCTCTTTCTGCGTACCGAAAAGTGCGAGCCCTCAACAATCCATGTGCCCACGTTTGCAGGCCGAGGCTCGAGCCAAGCGCTCTCCCACCTTCAAGAAGGGCTACGGAGGCGGAGGCTACGGAGGCTACGGTGGATACGGCGGCTACGGCGGTGGTAACTACGGGGGCGGCGGCGGAGGCGGCTGCTGCAACGTGTGCGGTCAGTGTGGCGGCGGCGGGGGCGGCTACCCCCATGGCGGTGGCGGAGGCAACTCCTACTCGCAGAGTTCTTCGCAGGCCTCATCACAGTCCTCTAGCTCCAGTGGAGGCTACGGCGGCAAGAAATGAGCGGGGCGAGACAAAGCGCCAACGACGGTACGAACATAGAATTTCTGAATTTACGGATATTTACGTAAACATGTGATTACCCAGACGAACGAATTTTTTAACCAGACATTTGAGCTAAACTAAAGTTTGACGACCGAACGATACGTAACTATGGTGCTATGAGCGAAATCCTGTACAAAATAATGTGATGTCAGTTTTTCATTAAATGTGTTAGTTATTAAAAAACAATAAAAAATATTTCCAAAAAAAGTAGCTAATGTCTGTGGTCCTTCCCCCTACTACAAACCTTCCTGTGGATTAGACCACCCAACCTACCAGACAATGGTCTGGGCGCCTCGTGCATAGGCCACCCAACGTACACCGCTGACAGCTGTAGCGGGCAAACAAACAGGTTCTGTTGGACGGAGGAGGAAAGGAATCGAGGTCCCGAGGAGTGCAAGAGAGATGAATGAGTCACTACTAGCGCCCCTGGCGGCAGAGAGGCTCCGCTACAAGAGGGAGGGCGCTGCATTCGCGACCGAACTGACCTCACACCCCTCTGACGTTTGTGTGTAGTGTACTTTGTACCGCACCCAGCCGGACTCCGCAGCTGATCCAATCCATTGAGATCTCTGCCTCAGTGACTTTGTCCTCGTTCAGCTGATCGCAACACCATGGCTCTTTCATCACGACTTGCCGCCGGCCTCAGAGGCTTCGTCGCAACACGTGGCATCCAACAAAACCTGAGATTCGCGAGTTCTGTAGGTGAGCCGGCAAGTTACCCGAGAGGGTTTTCTAGTTGAGGACTCCAGTGACATGGCCTTTATCTTGCCATCAGGAGCGTTAGATCCAAGCTTTATCATAGCAGACTATTATTGCCCTAATCTCTACCCAGTCGTCCATCAAAACAATGCTGAACTACACAAATCATACATTCCAAATCTCATTTTAATGCTGCAAGTTTTTCCAAACAGATATCCCCAAGTACGAGTATGTGGAAGCATCACTTGCAGGAGAAAAGAAGAATGTTGGTCTTATCCGCCTGAACCGACCCAAGGCTCTTAATGCACTATGCGACGCATTGGTGGCTGATTTGGCAAAGGCTGTGAAACTCATGGACAAAACTCCTGGTATTGGTGCGATTGTCATAACTGGAAGCGAAAAAGCTTTTGCTGCAGGTAAGTCAATCTGCTCTCAAATATTTTTTCCGTGCAACAATCTTTTATTTACTAATTCCTCAATGTGTTGTTCAAGGTGCTGACATTAAAGAAATGAAGGATACCACTTTTGCTTCTAACATCACCTGTGGACTGTTACAAGAATGGCAGGAAATCTCAAAATGCTCAAAACCCGTCATTGCTGCTGTTAACGGCTATGCTGTGAGTGATCTTTGTTCAGTATTTTTAATATACTAGGCACTTGGCAGTACCATGGCTGATTGAGTTAAATTATCTCAAATTTTTCTTTTTTTAGTTGGGTGGTGGTTGTGAACTGGCTATGATGTGCGATATCATTTATGCTGGTGACAAGGCCCGGTTTGGCCAGCCTGAGGTGTCCATTGGAACCATCCCTGGTGCAGGTGGCACCCAACGCATTGCTCGCTCATGTGGCAAGTCCAAAGCCATGGAAATTTGTCTCAGTGGAAACCAATTCTCTGCCGAGGAGGCAGAGAAAATGGGTGAGTAACAAGTGCAGCAGACAGATGTAAGTAATAAATTTGAACAACTGTCTGCAGTTAACTAATTGATTTCCATATCTAGGCTTGGTGAGCAAAATATTCCCTGCTGATAAACTAGTAGATGAAGCCGTCAAGCTTGGTGAGAAGATCTCTTCACACTCTCCTCTTATTATTGCATTGTGCAAGGAGTCTGTTAACAAAGGTATTTCATCTTGACATTCTTTTTTACCTTGTATACAAGTTAAGTTGCTCAATTTATTTTCACATGTCAACTCTTATCAGTGTAGGAGTGTGGACATGAAACAAACAAGTTATAGGCTGCTATCTTCATGCATTGTTTTATCTTTTCAGCCTTTGAAACCTCACTTGCTGAAGGACTTAGCTTTGAGAAACGTATTTTCCATGCCACATTTTCCACTAAGGACCAGCAAGAAGGCATGGATGCCTTTGTTGAGAAGCGAGCTCCCAAATGGACCAGTACCTAAATATTGAACTTGTACCTGATTATTGGCATTTCATGCCACTGTTAAGACTGTACCATTTTCCACTGTTTGTGCCATATGTGACATCCAATGTATTACTCCCCATGTGTATGTTGTGTATAACTTTATCATTTTGAAAACTTGTTGTATTGTTCTCTAATATTGTGAATTTTATTTTTATACTATGTTAAACTCTGTTTTTACATCTCAGTTGGTCAATGTGAATGTGCAAAATTGTCACAATTAAAATTGTCTGCATTTTTATTTTTGAGTCAGTTGTCTGATGGAAATGTGCTATAATTGACACAATAAAATAGTCTTCTATCTAAAATAGTCTTCTGAAGAGTCGAGACACACAGAGCACCCAGAAGGGCACTAATCTCTCTTCCTTAGAAAATGTAGATTTAGTAGCTACAATACCTTTTTCATACAGTCTATCCCTTTCTTCTTGTAATCGTTTTTGTAATGATGGATTGGATGTGACAACTGCAATTTGTGTCTCTAAATCTCTATCTATAGACCTGGAACCTAGAAGGAAAAGAATCTCATTAGCAACAAGGAAAAGGAAATTTTCTTGGTTCTCAAAATTCCTTTTAAACTAGTACAAACCAAAATTAGGTGAACCAACTAGGGATAAGGAAGGAAATTTTTGGCCAGGTAATGTTAACCAGAGCCCCTTTCCATGGTAAGTCCAGCCTGGCCGGATATATTCCTTTATTTCCACCCTGTCTTGCTGTTGGAGCTTGCAAGCTTTATTAAAAAATTCTTTAGCAAGTTGGGTATAAAGTGCAGGTATCCCGCCAGCCACACCATTTGCATTAAGGAACCCATTTGTCTGTTGCATACAAAAAAAAATTAAAATGGTCTGAAACTTGCTTTAACGAACAAATAAAATTGTGATTGTCCTCACCGAAGGATGTGCAGTCAAAACGGTGAATGTAGCTTTTGACTTTTCTAGAATAGTATCCATATACATTTTTGGCAAATTAAAGTACCCAGTAGCTAAATATACATGTGAACCAGTAGGTGACCTCTCCAGAAGGCCTAATGTGACCTCAGAATCATGATGGATTTCCAGCTGGCCCATTTGTATTAAAGGAAAAACCCATGTGTCAGCTTCTGAAAAAAAATAGAAAAAGTGAAAACGAGGATATTGTGATGCAGTTTTAAAAAAAGTTCATACAACTCACTTTTTTTGACTGCTGCATTATCTGTCTTGGACATGGATGAAAAAAAGCTTTTCCTCACACGTTGACGTGCTTCCTCAATGAACATTTGCTTGTCACCTTCGAATGGATGGCATGCTTGAGACCAGGAAGGATGGAGTGTTGTAGAGCCATTTGGAAGAAGATTAAAAGAAAATTCAGAAACTTGTTGGATTAAATTAGCATAAAAGTCTGCTAAATCTGCACAATCCTCTATCACTATGTATCTGTCTTGTCTGTTTGTGAAGTAATCATGACTTAAATTCGCTCTGAAATAGGAAGCAGCCTATGTGAAACATTTATATAATGCCACTAAACCAACAAATAATTGCTCAAATCAACTCACCCACTAATGATGAGGGAGTCATCAAATATATAGAGCTTCATGTGTTGCAAACCAACTACTTCATTGAAACGTTGAGGAAGAATAAAACGAAGAAAACCTCTTAGAGCAACAGTGTGATACAAAGAAACCTGAAAAAATCCAGCCATTGCTCTTAAATTTCTAGTAAAATTCAGTAGAACCAATACCATTAGAACCATAGTAAAACCATTACCTGTACTGAAGAAGGATGCTCCTGCAATAATGGTGCTACCATTGATCTGGAATTAATGGCTCCTCTTGAACCACGACAGTGATCAAACAGTAATGTCACTTTCAGCTGGCCTTGCAGATCCACCAGCCTTTTTTTAATAGTTTCAACCTGAAAAGTGAAAATTAATAAATAAACCAAGTAGGGTGAAGAGTGCGCAATCAGGTACAGGCAATTCAATAACTTACCAAAGCCTTTTCTAAGTCGCCTGTACCAAGGTATAAAGATGAAAATGTGATCCTAGTATGAGCATTGCTACATTTGTTAACAAGGGTCTCATAAAATTCAGACGGTTCATTTAGTATTCGAATTTTATCAGCATTTACAGGAAATGCAGGGGCTACCATGTGAAGCCATGAGTAAAATGATAATGCCATTTCCGACTGGTTGGCTGTCTTTTCCGCCGATAACCCCTCTTCGAATCTGGGGTAGAACTGAGACTTTGCAAAGGACCCCTCTTCATGAGCACCAGTAGATTTGGGGGGAACCATAAAGCTGTCGGGTGACCTAACAGAGATGTTCCATGAAACATGAGCATACCTTGGGTGACAAAAACTGTCAGAGAAAGCATGTGTCGTGACAGGTATTTTAATCAAGGATATATGACAACAATGAGCATGATAAGCAGAATACCTTGTTGTATGTAAAAAATTAGATAAGCTTTTCTGTACTATAATTTTTTTTTTAATAAAAAATATTCTTTTGTATTCTTAGAAGCATACATAACATAAAGCAGACATACATCAGAACATTGATTTACCTCCTAAAAATGTTCCGTATAAGCTTCTGCATTTGCCCTGGGGAAGATAATAGCTGGTTTCGTGGTGTTTGACAAACAATAGTTGTTCCCTACAGTGAGCTGTCAAGCAAAAATATAAACTGAATCGGAAAAAACCTACTATTCCTTCCAAAACATTACCAGAAATAGCAGAAGCTTTAGGTACGAAGATCTAGAATCATATTCGAGTTCAAGTGACAAATAACACAGTTGGCAATGCAGCAAAATTTGACGTTTGCTCTCGATATTTTTTCACTGCCCCGCTGTTTCTCGCACAAGATTTGTGCACTTGTATTTTAGTTCTTTATAATGACATGTGCTTCATCTCATACAGAGACAGTCCCGTCTCTTAATTTGAGTGTTGTTGTTGTTTAACGTTTATTGAGTTGGCTGCACAAAGTTCAGTTTACGGCGGAAAAATGGTCTCCACTCGTGGGCCAAAATTCAAATTTACCGAAGGAGAACGAGTTTTGTGTTATGAACCTGATCCTACTAAAGCCAAAGTTTTGTACGATTCTAAGGTACACAATGTTAAAATTCCTGCATGTATTTTGTTTATGCCGATAACTCCCCGTTGTGCGGTGTTTGTGGTACTTCGATTGTGTCTCCAGTCTGTCACCTTTGTATATTTCTGTTGATAAGTCTTCAAAAAGTTAACTTTTAGCATCAGAATTTTGTTTGGGGGAGGCATTTTGACATATTAAACAATAGTATCAGTAATTACCAGGAATGCGTTTCTAGCCAATGCTGTGCAAGTGATGGAATTCGCGGCCCTAACCTCCGGAAGCTCGTTGTGTGTTGTCAAAAATACTCCTCGCCACCTCCTCGGTTTATTCAATTATTGACAATTTAGAAAGATGACAACTTCTGTTAATGCTTTATTCCTACACCCTTCAACGTTTTAAGCTACGCCTTGCCTTCTCATTGTCTACTGTAGAAAACAAGAGCAGTTTATATATTTATTCATTGTTATGTACTAATAGGTTCTGGAAGTCAAAGTAACCAAAGACCAGAGGGGACGGAAGGCAGTTGAATTTTTAATTCACTTTCAAGTAAGTTTCAGTCATCACCCCTCGACTTATACTTTGATTTTGTACAGTTTTAGCTTGAGATTTGCGTATAAATTTTATAACTGTGTTTGCTTATTTGATTTTAGGGTTGGAACTCTTCTTGGGATCGCTGTGTGAGTGAAGATTTTGTCTTAAAGGATACAGAAGAAAACAGACAGTTACAGAAAGATTTAGCACAGAAAGCCCAATTACAACTGTGAGTCTTAAAAAACCTAGAGATGGCTATGTAACTCTGTTATATTATACGCTTGAACGTTGATAAGTTTGTATTTTATTTTGTTTCAGATGTTCAAATTATCGCAGAGGTGCTTACTTGTATCGAAAAGACAGAACAAAAAGAAGGCGGAAGCTCTCAGACCGCATCAATGATACCTTAGAGAGGCAAAAAGGACGACGGCGGGTTAGCACCAGTGCCAGTGCCACCAGTAACAGTAATGCTTCAGGTACAAGTGCCAGTGTTGATTCAGACCAAGATTCTGTGAGTCATGATGAGGATGAGGATGAAAATGATGATGAGCGGGATGAAGATGATGTAAGTGTATTAGCTTACCACCAATTTTTCCCTTTGGATTTTTTAAAACCTTTTACTAATTCCAATTGTAATGCTATAGGAGAATAATGCCTGGGGAAACCGTAGTTCAGACGAATCCTCTGAGGGTGAGGAAAGAGAAGACCACGATGAGGAAGTGGTGGAAGAACGCATTCCAATGGAAATATCATTAGGACTGAAACGTTTGTTAGAGCATGATTGCACACTTATCAATAAACACAACAAGGTATTAAGTTGTTTCATCCTGACAATTTTGAAAAGTATAGGAAAAGAAAGAAAAACATTTGAATCTTATTAACATTGCTCACTCTTCATTTCAGCTCTTAAAGTTACCAGCAGAGCCGAATATTGTGACGATTCTAGAGGGATTTGTGAAACACTATGCCGTTAATCAGTTGTGCAACAGCAGCACTACTGCTCCATCATCCTCTAAAAATGGTCAGCGCCATTATAAATATATTCATAGTAATAAAACTCAAGACTTGGATTCTATTTGCCGAAAGTATGCTTCTACTATGTGTTGTATTTCAATTTTATTTTGAGTACGCATACTGAATCAAAACTAATATTTCATTTTTCCTTTTAGTCTTAATATATGCAAAGAAGTAGCTGATGGACTTCGAGTCTATTTTGACTTTACTCTTAGTGATCTACTTTTGTATTCTCAAGAAAAAGAGCAGTTTACTGACTTAATCGGAAAGAATGGATCACCACAGAAAACCTTAACACCTAAAAGAGAACCAGAGTAAGTTGCTAATTTTGTGAATTGTGCAGGCCAAACTGGTATTTTACACAAGTGAGACAGATCTTTTTCCATTTCATATGTTTTATTAGAAGTGGAGGAGAAGGAGAGAGTGAAAATATTAAAATGGAACCATCAAGTGACTTAGCTGCTGACCATGACCAGAAAGAGAAATCAAAACTGCCAATTCCTAGCCCACCAGGCCGGGCATCAACTGAGGAACCAAGTGCAACTGTGGGAGAAAGTATGCACACATCAATACATACTGTCAATAACTTAATTTTTTAAAACTCTGCCCAACATTTATGTTTTTGTTTTTTTAATTTCCTTCTTAACAGATCGCAAACGCAGTCTACGTTCGTCTCACCGCCCTGTTCCTGATGTAACTGCAGCTGGACCTTCAACAAGTGAAACGCCTTCTGCTGTTCCTTGTTCAATTTCCAGGTTTGAGTTTTGGATAACTTCTTCATTAAAGTACATAATTTAAATTCAGCTAGGTATGTCATTTAGCTGACAAACACATGTTGTTTAATTTCAGTTTGCCTAGCAGTAGTTCTCAAAGCCCTGCAGCATCACCATCAGCACCTCCAAACTCTGTACAAAGTGTACCAACTGGGACCTCCCCCCCGAAAACATCTGATATAATGACACCCCAAAGTAACGCGATATTAACCCAAGTTATGACATGGCATCTTGTACCAACATCATCTAGCAATGAGGCTCCATCACTTCCATCATTAATATATGGAGCCACACACCTTGCAAGACTCTTTGGTTAGTGCTTTGCCACCATTATTTTGGACTCTCCTACTCAGTTGTTAAATAATCTTTGTTCTTATTTTGTAGTTCGGCTCCCGGATTTACTGTACACAGGAAATATGCCTAGCAGTAAACTTAAAGTTTTGACTTCACATCTTGAAACGTTCATGGGGTGAGTTAAGATTATTCACATGCTGTATTCTTCAAGGACAGGAGTTTAACTAGTTGTTACTTTACAGATATCTTGAGGAACATACAGAATGGTTCGCAGACCATAATTATAAAGAGAACCCTCATGTACCTCCTGCAAACTAATGTAAAAAGCTAATAAGCTACACTTAAATAAAGAACTGAATCATTTTTATTAAAATTTCCTCTTGAGCTTTGATTTGCTTTCCTAATCCTTTCTGTTTACAACACTAAGTGAGTGATTGAGTAAAAAACCAATGATATCAAATGGTATGAATTAATTTTGCTGGGACCAACTTAAAATAAATGTTTCTTTCAAAATTATAGATCAAAGATGAACAGGGAAGCTGAATATGATTTATTAGAAGAGTACTGAAACAATACAGTATATGACCACAACACCTTTCAACAGCTTTTCTTGTCTGCCTGATGACATTTTATGATTCCTCATTCAACCACAATTGATGTTACTATTTGATGTCTTACACACTAGTGAAGTTCTAGCTGCTCCATTTTACACTCTCTGGTTGTTTGCATAATTGTAAGGTGGCTGGAATGTTTCAACAGCAGGTTCTGCAACAAACCAATACTAATTAGATAACATAATTAAATTAATAAAACTAAATTCTACAATACTCACCATCATCATCATCGGCATCCTCAGTTTCCGAGTCGAAAGTGTTGTCCGGGATGTCATACAAACGAATCATGGGCTAGAAGCAATAAAAAATTTACATCAGTTAGGTATAATTTTAGCTGATAATACTGATTATCTACTACAACTTTTAGCATATATTTACCTTGTTCGGATCTTTCATGATCAGGAACTTTCCATCCTTCTGCTTCATAACAAGATCAACAATACAACGAAGAATACCCCAAGCATTGTCCATATTCAGATTAATCTGGGCAGCAAATTCATTAGGTTTGTATTGTTGTGTTCCCAAAATGACGTGCTTAGAAGAGTCCCGCACATGGGCACGAGAAACATAACTGTAAAAAATATAGGTCATTAGGAAAAAACAAATCAAAAACATTTTCACATTTAAATTAAAAAGAGAAAAAAAAAACTTACCCAAACTTGATCTGATCAGATCCGGCAAGCAGTGCTTGTACAGTCCACTTAGCCAGCTTACAAGCATTGTTCCTCAATTCATTAGCAAGGACAGCACCTCGCTGGGTGTCCAGTTTCTGCCTCCATTCTACTCCGCCAGAAAGCTGTGAGCATTGGCAAAATCATAGTGAACTTCACACAACTGTTATATTTAATTTAAATGATAATAGAGAATGATGATATACCTTGGAGTCCCATTCATTTAGAGCCTTGATAGTGAAGAATTGTGTTTCACCATTGGGTCCTGTCATAACAGCATCATGTTCACATCGACAGACCAAAACAACTCCACCACCAAGGTCCCACTTTCTGTACCGGTAGGCCACAGAGGCAACTTCTCCTTCCTCATCCGTGATAAAGGGATTAGCTTCGCTGAATTTGAAGCGTGCTTCATTCTTGAAAATTTAAACAAAAATAAGATTAAAATAAAGTTAAATCAGAAGTAGCAACATCCTCAACCGATGTGTACATACCGTCTTCAGAACTTGCTGAGAGAAATTGTGGTTAATGAAAGTTGCTTCCAGAGCAAGATTGCGAGGAGAGTTTAGGCTGTTTCCATCATCTTGAGGAGGTTCAACAGATGTCTCATTCACAGTTAGCAAATCAAACTCAGTATTATCTCTCTTGTCAAAGAAAAGTTTGTCACCAATTTTATCAATTACTATGTCCCAAGAATAGTTGGAGCGAGTACAGCACATGAGAGTGGCAAGAATAGCATCCGTAGCATAAACATTGCCCTCTGTCTTTGATAATTTACGGACAACAGGGTCATCAGTAGTAGTGACAGTGTGAAACACACGATCAATTCGCTGAAGAGGCTTCTCATTCTTCACATTGACACGGTCATATGTCTTATCATAATACTCCAGTGAGCCACAGCAAAGTCTAGAGGATACAAAATTAGCCATTTACACACACAATGATTGCACAGTAAATATGGTAACAGAAATTATCATTTCACTTACACATCATCAGCATCCTTGACATTAGGAAGAGACAATTTAGCAAGCCTGGGGAAGTCCATCTCCTCAATGGTGACCCAGTCAGGTCTGACAGTGACAGAAGCATCCCGATTCTTGATTGGGGGTTGATTCTTGTTATTACGCATGCCCTGATTCTTATTCCACTTCCTGACCTGACCCTTACGTTCCCTAATTTGATAGAAAGTAAGGGCATTTTCAATTACAGATACTTACATAGAAGGTTAATTAATACATTTAAACCCCATTGTAACTTCAGACGTACCTTTCTCTGGACTTTAAGCCCTTGCCAAGCTGCTGGAACTGATTCTGAGCACCTCTACCGCCACCGCGGCCGCGCATGTTGCGCTGGTTACGCAAGAACCGACCTCTTTGATATGGGGGCTTTTGTACCCTTGCAGTATCCACCAAATGGAAAGTACTTTCATCTTCATCATGGTAGTATGCATACTGGCTACCAGAACCAAACTGAGATTGATATTTACCTATGGGAGAACACATATAATATTAAATCAGATTGAAAATGTTGAAGCAATAGAATGATATAACATTTAACATGTCTTACTAGTATATTTCTTGTCCTGAAATGCTGCACCAGTCCAATCAGAAATCTAAAATTGAAAATATGAAAATAAAAGATTAAAATTATAAAATGTTATGACATATTTGATTAGTAGTCTAAAACACTAGACAGCAGCAAGTGATAAGAGAATGGATGGTTGTCATTTGAACTCAGCTAGTTAAGATGCCACCATGGGCAACAATGGGGAGTTGTGATGAGTGCGAATTAGGTGAGGGTAACACTGGTAAATTGTGAAGGATTGCGAATATTGAAGTGTTAATGGGTAGTTCATAGAAAATACGTCAAGTGGCATACGTGTCTGGCAGCCAAAAGTAGGGTTAGGTTTAAGGAACACCGATATTTTGATGACAACAACTTCATAACACTAGTATGGCCCGGATCGTAAGGACCACGAAGACTTAGTCTTCAAAAATATGTGAGCACCGGTCGGATAAGATTGAAAACAAATCTGTATTTACCTTGCCTAGACGGTCTGCCTTGGAGAAAGGCTGGTACGGCATATCCTTAAATTGGTCTGGCATATCACAGGGGCCCCATCCTGTAGAATTGTGTTGAATTTCAGGAGCCCTGAAGTGGGCCACTTCATCGTTCGACCCTTCCTCCGGCATTTTCGGCACAAATTTCAAAAAACTTCACAATATGGTGTAAATACAAAGTGGGACTCGTTCACTGGCAGCAGCCGGAAGGAAGCCGACGGCGGCATGGCCATCATTGTACCAACATGCCCGCAAAAGTTGTGTTAACGTAGGGGAGAGCTTTCCGTTTTAAACAATACTCGTTACTCTCAAAATAAACCGGTTTCAATTCCTCCGAACAACTCATTTACACGACCTGGCGCTGTTCAAGGATATTTAAATTGCTTACACGCAATTTCTTGTGTCCTACCGAAGTTTAGGGAGTTTCTCATACTAGCGATGTATGAGAACATTTGTCGTGAAAGATATATTTCATGGTTTGTACATAATTATCGCCTCCAAATTAGGAGAAAAAGAACCTCAATATATTTTTCTACCTTTGAATACCTCAGGCAGTCTTCTTGCATGCTGTTATGTATTTCCGTTCATTCTTTTCGTGCCGGAATCTGCATTTGCTTTTTAAAGCTCGCGCCACAAGCTATAGCCTTTGTCAAACCTGAACCAGATCCTCCTCTCAGTATTTTATACAAGGCCACGGACGGAAACGGAACCACAACTTAAGATCGCTCTAACCGAATCACAGCAGTGCAGGAGTGCATGGCGTCGGATGCTCGGAGACTTGACGAAACGTGCTGCGTTCTCTCGACTGGAACTGCGGATTTAGTTATTTTTCCACTTGAGGCGAGCCTTAACTTTACGCGGCATGAGTGACCGTGAGGTAAGTCAGCGAAAGTGCTGCACGGCGTTGCGCCGTTCGGGTGTAACTGCTCGGGATCCCGGCTCGGTCGCCGAAATGTATTGATCACCCCCTTGTTCAGACCACGTTTGTGTATTGCGTCTGCCCTTTTCCCGCCGATACTTTATCGCCTGCCCCGCGCGGTATGCAGCTCTGACCACATCTTCGCCACGATTTGCATTCCACCCACACTTGCCGTGGATGCATGTCTCTGTCGCCAGTGCGCTTTCCGGCGTCTATTTTCGTCTGCCGAGCCGAGTCGCAAATATCAAGCGATGGCATTGCGTCACCGACCGTTGAGGCCCAACCCCGGTGCGTTGCTCGCGGGGGGGGCCTGCCGCCGCACCGGGAGGACCGGGAGCTGTGGTATTTGCGACATGAATTGATCGGAAGTTGACCCCCCGAAGCCTACGCCGACGCCAATTTCCTTGGAGACGTGTTTGTTGACCGGACTGCTCCCTGCCTGTGGCAGTGACTAACTGCTAATCTAGCCGTGTTCATAGGGCTCGGTTAGAGTTGTCTTCTGGGTGATTTTCAACCGATAGTTTCTTTCGCCCTTCGTATCCTTTCTGAGTATTCTGAAGAATCTGACGGCCAGGTTAGATTTTCCGGAAGCATGAAGCAGAGACGCGGAGGAGAACGTCGTAGTCGCCATGAAGTAGGGTTATGATGGTTGCCGAGGTCGAGATACCATTGTTTGATGCCCGTTGTATGGGCCCTCTTCAGTCATGTTTAATTTCAGTAGTTGGCCTCGACTATCGTTTTCTGTTCATTTGCATCTGTCTCACCTATATTTTCTTTTCATTCACAGGGCAGCCCTGACCAGTCCAACCACAGCCCCAAGCCCATTGTGAGGAGTCCATCTCCCCACAGTAGGTCTAGATCAAGGGACCGCAGTCGTTCCTTGTCGGGGGATCGTGGGGCACGCAAGACCAGAGATTTCTCTCGATCTAGGTGAGTAATCTCAATGACTTCCGTTGGGAAAAACCATGATCAGACTTGAAATGATGGATTTTACATGTTAGACTTCTGATAATGTGACTGACAAATTCTCACTGATCAAGTCTCTGGTCTGGTGTTTCTGCCAAATTGACATTAGGTGCGCAACAATTGTTCACCTCTTGACATGATGGTTTTTTACATGTTAGACTTCAGAAAAGTTTGATTGAAATATAACAACTGATCTTAAAATGTTTGTGTAACGAATACTATCACTATTTTTCCTTCTTACCAATTTATAACTTCTTGCAGGAGCCCCACATCTCCTGGCAAGTCTCGAAGGATGTCTTCATACCGCCGGAGATCCAGAACAAGGTCACGCTCACCCCGACGTGGTTACAGAGCAAAGTATTCTCACTCAAGATCTCGTTCATACAGTCCAAGAGGTGGTCCTGGTAGAGGAAGCAGTAGCAGGTACTATGGAGGCTATAGCGATCGTCGGAAGGAATTCTATCGCAGTCACTCCAGGAGTCCTATGTCAAACAGACGCAGACATGTTGGCAATAGAGTAAGTTTGCATCGACTTTTACTCTAGTTCGCTCATTTTGTTCCTCTGGAGATTTAACAATTTTATTTTCAGGACAACCCTCAACCAAGCCGCTGTCTGGGTGTCTTTGGCTTGAGCATTTACACCACTGAACAACAAATGCATCACATTTTCTCTCAGTATGGTCCTGTTGAAAGAGTACAAGTGGTTATTGATGCTAAGGTAAGATTTTGCTTAACCTAATTTCATGCATCATTAATACAGCCACCAAACTAAACTCACTTTTTTCCTTATTTAGACTGGTCGATCTCGTGGTTTCTCATTTGTTTACTTTGAGAGCCATGAAGATGCTAAAGCAGCCAAGGAGCAGTGTTCTGGAATGGAAATTGATGGAAGACGCATCAGAGTTGACTTCTCTATAACACAACGTGCTCACACTCCCACACCTGGCATTTACATGGGCAAGCCTACTTACCGCAGTGCACCAGAGAGGGGGTGGAGAGGTGGTGACGACGATGGCGGCGGTGGTGGCGGAGGCGGCGGCGATAGGAGCGACAGAGGAGACAGGCGCGAGAGAGGCGGTGGTGGAGGCAGAGGCGGCCGAGGAGGCGGTGGGCGCGGAGGGTATGTATCCAGTTTCACTCGTTGCATTTAAGTACCTGGTGGGCATTGCCATTTGCTGACGTAGATTTCTACCTCATGAGGTCTCGCATACACTTGGTCGTATACTGGGTTCATTAATGATTAACTGGGAGGAAGTTGTTTGTCATGGGCTAAATTTTGCACATTTCATCTGAGCAGTTCTGTAATGGGTCAATTATGTTGCAGGGACTACTATGGTGGTGGCGGTGGCGGCGGCGGAGGCGGTGGCTACCGAGGCAGTTACAGAGACCGATCACCCTCACCGTACTATAGTCGTAGACGGCGGTATGAACGCTCTCACTCCCGGTCGTACTCTCCACGTAAGTAGCCTCCTTAATGCTCCACTACACTAATTTGAGGTCCATCTCAATGGTCAAGCTTTGCTTTTTGGTGTGGCACTGTAATCATTGGGAATCTTTGGACATGGATATCAGTTTGCCACAATGCCTTTTGTGCCCAAGGTGAGTCTCCATTGGATCCATAAGAAAGATCATTGTTGCAAACTGGATTATGCCCATATCTTCCTTATTCATGTGGTGTAGCACACTCATAGGAATTTTCTTTTAATTACAAGGTATTGAAGACTGATTAACTCAAGATTTAAGGATCTTTCAGTATTTTGAAACTTAATTTTCATCAGCCTATTATGAAGCATCCAAAGTCTGAAGAAAAAATCAAGACTCCATTTTCTTTTCCTGGGTCTGATCCCTGTTCGGTTTCTCTTCAATTGCATCTCCCTGGATTGCCTCAATGTCCAGCAATATTTGCCTAATCTTTCTAAATTCCTGACTAGCTTCTGAACTTCCTAATAAGTTTTCATGACCTCTTTCATACCAACCTTTACCTTTTCAAAAAAATATTTTTGGTAGTGGACTTTTATTTTTTATCTTTGCTTTTGTTGTACCATTAAGTGATGTATTTTTGTCTAACTGTGGGTTACACTAATTTCAGGTCGATATTAAGGGCCCCGGTGCAGCCAGCAACTTTAAAAGTGGAACTCCAGTTCAATTGCTTTCTAATTTTCAGTTTAAATGTTAATGTAACATTTTGACTTGCACTGTTGTAAGGAATTACCTAGCTATTCGTACTGATATGTTTAGATTTATGAGACTAGTTGTTTGGGGAATGGTTTCAGTTAGTTTAAGCCTCATTAGGCATCTTCCATCACCATTCCCCCTTTTCCCTCATTTTGACTACCCCACTATATTTTAAGCAAAATATTGACAGGGGTTTTTTGCTATCATCCTTCTCAGCACACTCATGTTATTCTCTTTGAAGTTTTTACTTAAATTCAAGGTCTAGATGGAAAATGAATTAATTTTTATGTCCTGTCTCATCATCATTGTCATTTCTGTTTGTACTTGCTGAGTCAGCAGTACATATATAAATTCATAGTTAGACTGTGAGCATTTACTATTTGTAGTGTGCGACTCTTCCCCAATGCACTACGCTCATGCCAGTTTTATACTGAGGTCCCCATGATTTATGGAAGGATTGTACATAGTTTAGAATAAAGTTTGTCTTATGGCACATACTAACCTGGTTGTTTGTTTTTATTTTTGTAAGGTTATGAAGCAAGAGGTATTGGATGAAGTTAGAAGTTTGAGCACACTAGCACGTTCTCTGGGGCAAGAATGAAATCAAGTCAAGTTGACTTCGGAAGCTCGCGAGACCCTGTGTGGGCGAAACTATCATCTTGCTGGTTGAAGTTTGAAGAAAGAAAACAAAATTCAAGTTCAATTCTGAAGATGTAAAGTAGTTCAAGACTGAAGCCATCTTTTCAGGGCTAATCAGGAAGAGGGTTGGTTATTTCCTTTTCATTTCCTTTCTTTTTCTTTTTGCGTTAGACCAAGTCACTTGAAACAGACCAGTCAGTAGGAAGTTAGGAGTCATTTTTTGCACTTCACCAAATTTTGGGGCTAAGCTTTAAAAGACCAGAAAGGGGTGTGCTAAGGTGCAAGTCTTTTATTTGATTTTTTCCTTAACATTTCTTTGAATTTGACTTCATTTTCTGTGGTAAGTCAACTCATCCTGAATTCCTTTGCTTTATGCCATAACTGTTACACAAATACTTCGGCAAGTGGCTCTAAGTGAATTTCAATGCTACCTCCAAATTAAGGAGCGGTGCTGTGAATTTTAAGGTGATCGAATTCATAGCTAAGGTGTGTAATTCCCCACTTGCCAGGTGTTTGGAAACCTAGTGCTTTGTCAGGATGGCCGTGTTTGCGGAACAGGATCTCACCATTTTCATGGTATGATTTCAGCCAAAGTCAATAAATTACTTTCTCATTATATTCTTGTTTTCTCACCCTTGCACCCTCATGAACACATTTTGGCACTTTGAGTTACCAATGTGCAGAGTTTCAAACAAATTATGTTGGTGACCAGTTACACATTTTGGTTTGCCACAATGTGGCTGCGTGAGATGTATGATACACAATTAAATTGCTACACCTTTCACCACCAAACAACACTTGTTCATACAATGTCGTTTAGCAGTGTTATGAGGCCCGAAGAGGCCGGTTTGGCGCCCTTTCCGCAGTTTTGCTGGTGCAGCCAAGCTGAGGCGGAGTGGAAGGGAGGGCGGGGTATTGATCGACCTTGGGCACGGCAAGGCGGGCTATGACCGAAGTTTGGTCTCTACGCCCCTCCGCTCCCCTCACGCTCGCGCCGCTGCTGTTGCAGTTGTATCGGAGCGGCTCGACACGGCGCGGGCGCGCTGCGGTGTCGAGCCCGTGAGGCGGACGCTGAGCCAGCAAGTGCGCTTGTTGGCCGAGCAAAGCCGAACGATGCCGAAGGCAAACCGAATGGCTCCGAGCAGCACAAATGGCTGGGCCCAGCTTAGTGCCGCTGGCTGCCTTTCCGAGGGAGGAGGCTACGCGCGCTGCTCAGGCGCGGTGTCGAGGAAAACTTGCACATATTTTGAAAATCCGGCTTTCAAATGGCTGACGGGCTTGTGGAGGAGCTGCTGAAGCGATGGGGAGTCCCACAGCTTTTGGATCGTTGCATAGGTATGTCCTGGTTCGGTCGAAATCAACTAATTTGTTGTGAGCGTGGCACGTCGTGTGTTCATCTGTGTTTACAACAACTATTTTCTTCTTGCCCAGAGCAAGAGGTGGACTTCGACGCCCTGCGTTCGTTCAGCGAGGACGTCATCACGGAGTTGGTGCCCATGATCGGGCCGCGCTGCAAGTTCCTGAGAGGGTGGCGGACCTGGAGTGAGGCGGGTTTCCCGACCCCCTCCGCCTCCCCCGCGCCCCCGCTCACCCCTGGCGCACTCGGCCAGCCGGCGCCGAGGGCTAACAACCCCGCACCGGCGCGGCCCCAGCTGGAACGCGCCCCCTTCACCCCCGCCGTCAAGCTCTCGTTAGGGGTCGCGGAGCTGGGTGCGGACCAGGTATGAGGAAGTTGTAAAGGTGTCTCTACAAGTCTCATTGTCATTTATGAGCGTTGAACGGGGGGCGACGCTGGTGATAGCGCCTGCCACGCGCTGGGTAGGCCAACCCGCCAGACAGCTGGGGCGTGGGGCCCACCCAGGCCAGAGCGTCCCAAGTGGGGGAACTAGGGCCGCTAGGGGGAACTTGAGGCCAGAGAATGACGTTCGAAGCCTCATGTTTCCTCGCGTCAGCTCGGGGGATGTTCATTGTGGGGGCAGGCTAATGGAGATTACCATACACCTTCTCACCTTGGACCCCGCTCCATGTTATTTCCCTAACAACTCCCATAGTCGCAGGCCGGGCCGTCGAGTGTGGACGCCAAGAAGGAAGTGAGCGTGTTCCTGGAGGGCAAGATCACTTATGATGACGGCGACTCGTCCTCTGGTGAGTTTTCGTGGTTATCGAGGCGGCAAATCCCAGTTTCAACTCAAACTATATTTTCGCCCTGTATGTGTGTGTCTCTTAAGGGTGGCTTGCTGCGAACGGCTTCATCTCAACGTCCACGACCAGGGGCTCCGCGTTCTTGAACCAAGGATCTATCAAGACCGAGCTCATTGTGAGTAATTCGCCGGTGCCCCCCCCCCCCCCCCCCTTTCTCTCCACGGGTCCCTCTTGTTAATTTGATTCCTTTACGTTGTCCTGTAGGACGACGACGTGCCATCAGAGGCGGACGTTGGTCGAGGCGATTCGGTTTCTTCCGACCCCCGCAAGGGGCCCAGGTTCCAGCTGGAGGGGCGCATCAGCCTCTCCGTTCAGGAGTTCGTCGGTGAGTTTCATTACCATCCCTTCTGCTCGCTCACGGGGCTTTCCCCATTGATTAGTAATTGTCAAATCATCGCCCCTTTCCAGAGGTGCCTAGCTTTATGTTCGCGAGCTCGGCGCCGGCACCCCTGCAGCATCAGGGCGAGGATGGTTTTGGTCCTCATCACTATGGTCCAGACAGCCCCGGGGTGTTCGCGTCGCCAGCCCAGGATGCCCTACCGAGCGCCCACTGTAGCGCCACCTCGAGCGCCCCTAGAGCCAAGCGAAGCAGAGAGGAGAAACTGGTGAGAGGCTACCTTATCGACTTACTTTAGTCATTCTCTAACCAATGCATTTAACACATCAATTGTTTTTATGAACAGGATCTAGAAGCCCTGCTGAATGCCTCTAGCAAGGGCAAGATGATTTTATCATTGTACCAACAAAAAGGTGCTTTAGATGGTCCTTCTCGACAGACGCTCACTGATCTTATTATTGCTGAAGAACTTAGAGAAGATTTTAACAGGAGAATCACAAGTCAGAGATTTCAAGAAATAGCTGAGACTATTGTCGCCCTGTTTCCTGGAGAGAATGAGGTAAGTTCATATGAGTGTTGACTTTGACGCTACATGCAATTTAAAAATAAATAAATTATTATCTGCTTATTTTACTTCATCTGGTATTTTGGATATTTTTAAAACACTTTTTATTTTTTTATTTGCAGGATACCTATTTTGCAAACGACCGCTCTTATGGAGAACGCCCTGGTGGCAAAGGAAAACTTACTTCAAAGTATTACAACACTCGTAGACAGTTAGCAAAAAGTGGAGTTATTAGCAGAGGATTCAACAAAGAAAGAAAACAAATTATTCAACAAGGCACTCTTGCTTCTTTACAGTATTTATGTTGGTACCAATTTTTTAAATCACTTGTTTTAAAGGTGGTTGAGTTTTTATGTTGTA